TAATTTTAGGTGAAATATTTGCGTGTAATTTTCAGTTTTTGGTCAGGTTACAAGTGACCTTTTGACCATCTGAATTGCAAATAATTTTTTAATCATGGTAACATAAATATAATATACAGTTTACTATTTTAGCCATTCTTATGTATATGATTCTGTGGCATTAAGCACATTTACATTGTTGTACAATGAATTGCCAAGACATTTCTCAACTTTCATTGGCTATATGTAATGTTAAGTTGATCTCAATTCCCTTAAGACTTGTTTTGTTTCCTAAATATTTACTGAAGACCTACTCAGTGCCAGGCACAGTCTGGGACAGATTAGTGAATGAGACAGATATGGTTCGTGTCTTCTCGGAGTTTACACCCAAGGAGGGATACACACATAGACCACTTGGTTATAGGTGGCACATGAGTATAAATTCAGGCTGCTCTAAGAACACATCCTGGGGCACCAACGTGTTCAGGAAGGCTTTTCCTGAGGAAGTGACATTGAAGTAGATAATTCCTGAGCTACTGAAGTAGATAATGATGTGTTTAAAAAAAACCAAAACACCTTTTTAGGTCTTTTAAAGTAGGCAAAGAGGCCAGGGAACAGCACTTAGGACACGCCTGAGGCAAGAGCCAGGGACCTAAGAGAAGACTGAAATGCCCAGAAGAGTAGGGGGAAGGAGGTGGAGAGATAGAAGGGCAGGTCCTGGAGGGCTGTGGGAAGTGGTTATCATGTCAGCCTTCTCCCTAGAGAAATGTGAAGCCACCAAAGGACTTCAAGCAGAAAAGTGACCCCAATAGAGACTTACACATTTCTCTAGTTGCTTGTGGGAAATGGATGACCACAGGGCTTGTGGGGGTTGGAGAAGTTGTGGCCTGATAAGGGATTGGAAGGTGGGGGGTGAAGAGAAGGAAGAATTACGCTGACCCCTAGGCTTCTGACTCCAGAAGCCATTTGCTGAGAAAGAGAGCCCTGGAGAAGGAGCAGCTTGGGGAGAAAGAGAATGCATTCAGGTTTAGACACGTCTGGAATCGAGGTGTCGGCAGAACATCCAGGGGGAAACGCCCTGGCCCTGCTTCGGGGTGGAGACTGCAGGAACACCATCTGGGCAGATCAAGGGTAAATGACCTGACAAATAGCTAACGTGTTTCATGGCACACCTCATCTTTTATATCCTTTTCCTCTGCTTTTTGTCTCTCAGCAATTACAGAAATGATTCCTGGTATTGTCATCAACAGATGGCTACTCCTCTACTGCAGACCAGCACTTAACATAAACATTTTGCGGATTGCTTTGAACTTCACCTTCCGTCTATAAACAATAAATCCTCTCAGAGCAAACTCTGAGACTGCCCTTTTTTTTTTTTTTTTTTTTTAATGAGTCTGTGAAAGTTTTAGGGCAACTGCTATCTAAATTCCCTCATTATACAACTAGGAAATGGTGGCCACTGTGGTGGTGAGTTTCACAAGGTGACAGAGTTGGGTGGCTGCAGCCCTGGCCTTAGAATTAAGGACTCCTCTTACTGGGCAGACTTATTTCCACCACCATTACTGCTTCCTCTTCCTAGTGAAGAGCTGCTGACTGCAGAGTTCCACTTACTAATGATTTCTTTCTTGCAGGACATGAAACAGCGCCTACCCTGTTTGGTCCCAGAGCACTGAGGGCTAGAAATGTATCTTTATAGAATAATTATTCTAATGGTTAGAAGTATCCAAAATAAAATTTGGATTTCTTATGAAAACTTTTTAAAACATGTCATGGTCCATGGAAAACTCTTCGTTGGTTCTATAATGGACACATAACTTTGGGACTGTGCATAGAGATATAAAATTTTCTGTAGTTTTAGGAACTACATAGATTCTAAGTTAAAGAATTCCTGTTATATAATTTGGGCTACCATCAAGGACACACAAATTAGTCTTTCTAGAAAGAAGTCCAAGGATTTCCTCTTCTGTTGAATTAAGTACCAATAAATGTTAAAGGATTCAATAGTAGTTCAGTTAACGTCTCATGTGCGTTATAGACCGTCCGCTTTGGCTAATCCATTAGTCACTGTTGACTAATGTAATATCCATCTTGGTGACACACTTGCTAGACGTTTTAAAAGGTGGTTGGATGGTACTGAATTAGTCAGAAATCTATTAACGTCTTAGTAGAAATTTTATATCCTCTTTACATTTTTAAAATTAACAGCCCAGTTAGATGTTATTTGAGCCTTGACCATAACGAAAAGACCAGCCTTTCCTGATCAAAGTCAAAGCAAAAGGAAGCCTGTTTTATTGGTGCTAACTGATTTTTAATGTATCTTATTAAAAACAAAAGGGAGGGGCAACCCCTTCTGGTCTCCTCCTACTGTGGAAACTTTTCTGTCCTCTCAATAAATCCTGCTTTCTCACTTAAAAAAAAAAAGAGGGGGAGAATATACACAAACCATCATTCTCACTTTCAGCCCCCCACAAGGCCAAAAAACATATACAGGGAGTGTGTGCAGGATTATAAAGTAGTTTCCAGAGAGGGGAGGTGTTAATCTGACCCTGTTAGATTCTGTTAAGTTGAAGTTGAAACCTCCCTGGGGCAGGGCTTCTTCCCAGTCATGCCCACTCTTTCCTTATCTGAGGCTAACTGTCCCTCCATTTCTTTCTTGCTGAGAAACTTCTCCCAGGCTACCGGCTCTCCTGCTCAGCATGCATTTTTAACTGACTAAGATGTACGCTTTTCCTCATTCCCAAGTTCCCTTAAAATCTTGTTTATTCTATGGAGATTCTAGTGACAAACTGGCACTTTTTTTTACAAATTTTTTTGTATCTCTTCCTAAAATTATTTTTGTGCCCTTCTCCTTTCTCCTCCGTACAGTGAAAGCCTCATGAGGGAGGGTTCTTACCAGTCTCAGTGACAACGATATTCCTGTTACCCAGGGCAGTGCCCAGAGCTAGGCACTGGCAGGCGCTCAGTCCATCTTTGAGTCAATCAGTGATGAGTATCTTCACCATAAGCGCCGCTAGAATAGGGACCATGTTTGTGTACTGACAACCGATGGCAGGACACATAGATTTTTATTCAAAGATGGCCTTTAGCCATCCACGAGCACCACCCCATGGTTCCCCTCCACTTCAGAACTTTCTGTTGTTCACATGGAAGCTACACACAACTTTCAGTGCTCTAAGGAATCTTGCCAGCGGAAGAAACTTTCCTTTTTGTTGGAGACTCAGCAAGTAAGTGCAGAGGCTTGGCTATGGAAACACTGCCTGATTCAAATCGAACTTCTCTCCTCACTGATTCTGGCAGTCACTGATCCTTTTTGTGCCTCAGTTTGTTCATCTGTAACAGGGTAAAAAATAGCACCTGTTTTACAGGATTGTTTTGAAGATGAAATGAGTTGCTATAGGTAAATGTGTTAAGAAGCTTTCCAGAACAGGTGCTCGCTAAATGTGGGTAAGATTATGACATGACGGTGGTGGTGTGTTGGCCAATAATGTCATAGGAGGAGTATTTTTATACTTTGTTATTATCTAATCATCTCACTTCATTAAATATTTTCCTTTATCATTTGTGTCCTCGAAATACAAGAATCAGGTCTTCCCTTAGAAATGTTCTTGTCATTTACAGTATTCACATTAAGTGATTTTTTAAAAATGATATCTTATTGAGAAACACAATTTGATTCCTTGCATTCATTGTTTATAATTGTTATGCCAAGTTTATCTTCATGAAGATACCAAGTAGACTTTTATCCCCAGAATCTATATTTTAAAAGTTCCTGCTACTTGGTGCATTTCTCAAATAATGTCCTTCATATTTGAATTTTCCTCACATTTTCTGGAAGAAAAGATTAATAAAATATTACTTATTATAAAATCAGCATGGAAGATTTTTCCTCGCAGGGTTATTTTCTTGAATTCTGAAATATTATCTCACACAGAACTTTATTATGCTTCTGTGTCTTTTATTTGTTTTTTTCCCACATGGTGAATCCATAAATACTAGGTTTAAAGTTTCTGTCAGGAAGAATTATTTTTAGGTTGGCATTAAGAACGGGGGCGGGCAGAGAACAGAAAGAAAACACTTCTGTTCCAGTCTGCACCCCTGACTGACAACTTACAAGTACTCTTGACTCTGGGTGTAGAGGGAAAACCATAAATAAAATGGAGACATAATCAGCCTGTCACCTAAATCTGTCTTTTTTAGTTTTTGTTATTGCTAAAATATTAATAACAAAAATGCTATTTCTAGTTTGCTAATAGCCTAAAGTTTGTTTTCATTTTCTATTTGGTCCTCTGCTCTTCTTCCTATTTTCAAAAGGCACTTAGGGGGAAAAAATGAACCTTGGAAAAGATCTTAGAGGATTAGACAGCGTAAAAGCAGTAGACAAGATGTCTGAGGCTTTTCTCGTTTGCTCTTTAATGGGGCGTGTGGTGATGGATTTGTCAGTGAAGGCACTTGTGTTCTATCTGAAGAGTTGTCCTATTTTCAGTTCACTGGAGCTCCCTGGCTTCCCTAAGTCCAGGAAGTTGCAGGCGTTGACATTTGGGTGCTTTTGTGGGTGAGGTCACTTAGTTTTAATTCTCTACACACCAGTCCTTTTCTCACAAAAAGTTTCAGTGCAGGCTTGATAGAAGAGTAATAAAGGCTGGTCATATGGGTAGCCCTGGAAAAATGACAGAAACAGAAGAAAGCAGCAGAGGACTTTATAAAACACAAGGCACTTGACTTGGAAGGAGTACAGAATCGAATCAAAAACCTAGAACAGATACATAAATCTAAATTATTAAATCAAAAGACTAAAGGGAAAGAAGAATCTTGGTTAGTACACACCATATGTTGTGCTTTTAATGGTCTGTCTATGTTGTCTGTCGTGAAATTGGTGGGAAGGTGTAGGTTGCAGATATGACTTTGCTGCAAGTGTAGTGGTGGTCTTGGTGTTAGTATTTATGGTCTGGCTTGTATGTGGTGTGGTGGCAGACGTGGTGATTGCCAGAAGTTTTTCATGAATAAAATCTTCTGCTTTTCAGATTTTCACCTGATGGAAGACTAATCGTGTCATGTAGTGAGGATAAAACTATTAAAATTTGGGATACCTCAAATAAGCAGTGTGTTAATAACTTCTCAGATCCTATAGGGTAAGTATGCCCTGGGCACTAATGTGGGTTTGTATGCTAGGGAGACATTATTGCAATTGACATAAAGAAGTGAGGGGGAAGGGATTGAACTGTTAGGTCATCTTATCCTTTCCTTCTAGATTTGCAAATTTTGTGGACTTTAACCCAAGTGGTACTTGCATAGCCTCAGCAGGTTCTGACCAAACCGTGAAAATCTGGGATATAAGAGTGAACAAATTACTGCAGCATTATCAAGGTAACAATTTCCCAAACAAAAATAATTCAGTGATTGGGCTCCTCTGGCAAAAATGGTTTATCCTTCTTGGTGTGGTTGGCCTTTAAAGAACAGGGTAATTAGTGCCCATCACCAGTAGGCTCTGAGAAGCTAGAGGAAGAGGGAGCCTTGCAAATGATGTTAGGACTAGAAAAAAGGAAGTTTCTGGGAAAGTCTCAAACTCTGGCCATCTGTATTGTATAATAAGCCAGGGTTGGAATTGAGGCTGAATTCTGAATCACAGTGAGGGAAGTGAGCACAAGTAGTTGTTATAACTGGTAGGAGACAGCTTCCATCTGTGCCTGTGCATGGAAGCTAAAAGAGAAGTGACTTCCCAGGCGCAGTGGCTCACACCTGGAATCCCAGCACTTTGGGAAGTGGAGGCAAGAGGATTGTCTGAGCCCACAGGTATGAGACCAGTCTGGGAAATATGGCAAGACCTTGTCTCTACAATAAATAAAAAAAAAATTAGCTGGGCATGGTAGCGCACATCTATAGTTCCAGCTACTTGGAAGGCTGAAATGGAAGGATCGCCTGAGCCCAGCAGGTTGAGGCTGTGCTAGCCATGAGCATGCTACTGCCCTCCAGCCTGGGTGACAGAGTGAGACTCTGACTCAAAAAAATAAATAAATAAATAGAAGAGAGAGAAGTGACTTGGTTTCCTTGGTATATTGAACTTATATTAAATCCACATTATTTATTTTAAATTTTTTTATTTTGAATATGTGGGGTACAATTCAGGATTAGGTATACAAATGTTCATTATGCAGGTACCCTTGTTAAATCCACATTATTATCACATAAGTAGTTATCACTTATTCAGTGTTCACCATGTATCAGACATTGTGCTAAATCCTCACAATGTTCCTAAGAGGTATTATTATTATTATCCCCATTTCAAAGATAAGAAAATTGAGACTTAAGAAGAGTAAGTAACTTGCTCTAAGAATCACTAGAACTGACTTGGGTCTTTCTGCTTGCGAAGTTCAAGGAAGAATAAGCTTTTGATCACTGTATTATACTGCCTCCTACTGGTGTCCAGAAGTGAGTGCTCCAACATGAAGGCGGGACTGTGCCCCTCTTCAGATCTGTCTCCATGCTCTTAACCCCTTAATCCCAAGACACAAATTGGTTATTAGTTTCATTTGAGACTAGGCTATATGCCTTATATGAGCTGGCGATAATCAACTGTTGGTTATATTGACAATGTATCCAAAAACTTTGTAGTTGTGTGGGCAATATGATTATCTTTCCATGACATGGTCTCATTTTTTAGTTTTTTGGTCTCAGAGCTGGAAGCCTAATGCTGTATGATGCCAAGACACTTGCTCATCTTGTGGACTTTACAGAATATTGGGTTGTGGAGACGTTGCCCTAATTGATTCTTGTTTTCAACCTGATATTGCTAAAGAAGGCAGAGTGGTATCTTTAGATTTAAGAATTGTCCTCTGAACTCTTTGCTTTCATTTTCCGCAAATTAGTTCACAGTGGTGGAGTTAATGGCCTGTCATTCCATCCTTCGGGTAACTACCTCGTCACTGCATCTTCAGATGGCACACTTAAGATTCTGGATCTCCTAGAAGGAAGGCTCATATATACGCTTCAAGGACACATGGTATTCACACGAAGATTTGTGCTTTTTCTATATAAAATTATATAAAATAAAACAGATCTTAAAGTTTGATCCACTTTATTATATATCTTTATTCTTTTTTCAGATATAGCACAATTGCTACTATCACAAACATTTTTTACTTCCAAGGCTATGTTTTTATACTCTGGAAGCAACTCTTACAAATATTATTTGTTGTAATTCTTTCAACAGCCATTCAATGAATCCCCCATTGCTATCTTTATCAGTTTGTTGTGTAGATTTACTGGTTAAATGGTGATGGGTAAGTTGGTTTCCTGCTTCTGTCTTTCCCTGATGTGGGGGCTAAACCACCAGTTCAGGCATTCTCATGCCCCAACCTCACTCCTTCCATTAATATGATTGGTGTAGTCAGTTGGAGAAATCTGGCAAGGTTAGGCCAGTACCCTCTCCTCTCCTTCCCTGGAGAGTGAGCCTGTTCTCACTGTCTTTCTCTGAAGCCTCCTGTGGGGAGACCTGCCCTCACCTAGCATTGCCTGTGACTCGGTTGTCAATCCTGACTCATTCCTCCAGTTCTAGAAAGCTCGTCTGCCTTGCCAATGAAAGCTGCATTTTCTTTTTACAAGCACTTATCAGTAAGAAAGGTGATAGTTTGTCTTATTACTCAAGTGGTTTAGAACCAAGTGGAAAAGGGAGTGTTATTAAGCCTATTCAAAGACACCCCCTCCCCCACTATATAATGCATCAGAGGGAAATTTTTTTAAGTATATAAACTATCTTTTCTTCTGGGTAAATATTCAAAGGTCTCTGAATTTTTTAGAATACACCTTCTTTTTTTTTTTTTTTTTTTAGATGTACTAGGTCCTTCCTTTTAGCCAAGTATAAGCTTTTTATATCTAGAAATAGAATGAGCTCTGTGATCTAGAAGAAAAGGGGTTCTTTCTGCTCTCATGTCTCCTGCTTTGTTTTATCATTCATTCTGTAGCCGTGTTCAGGTGAAGCCGGAATAAACACTAAGCAGCTTAGATATATGAGCATTCATGGACTTAGAGTGAATAAACACAACCAATAAAAATGGCTAAGGATGAAATATTCACGAAGGAAGTACAAACTAATTGGAAAAAAAGATAAATACAGCATTTTAGGAGAAAAACTCTCTAGGGGAAGATAGAACTTGGCATAGCCTGGAGGTTCAGGTGTTTATGAAGCTATAATCACCTAAACCTGTGGGGTAGTTACTTGGAAAAATGCAAGATGTTTTTCCCTGAAACTTTTCTTGTATAGATCAAAAGCACATTACAAACAGGCAGAATGTTGATTGGTAAGGTTGTGGATATAAGGAAGTTGGTCTCGACTGCAGAATCGTCCTGGAGGCTGTGGCCTTGTGACTGTGCCAAGCATAGTCTCATCAGCCTCTTAGTGGTGGCCTGACTTCAAGTTCTTGTTGCCTCTCACCTAGATGAGTGCAGGCACTTCCTAACTAGCCTCCAGCCATTCCTCCTAACCCCAGTTCATCATCTCACAATTATCATATTTATTTTCACCCTTCCCAGCTCTCCTCCTAGCTGTGTCCACTTCTCCCTCATGTGGTTCACTGTTGCCCACAGGAGGGAGAACTCAGTGAAACCGCTTGTGTTCAGGAAATGACCACTATCTAAATAGCCCCATTCACATCACCTACATTTTTGTCATTCTGTTTCTGCTAGTGATTGGTTGAATACAGAGGCCAAAGCCAGTAAATAATGGAAATTTATTGTTGTGTTATTCTTTTTCTTTTTGAGTCGGGGTCTTACTCTGTCGCCCAGGCTGGAGTGCAGTGGCATGATCGTGGCTCACTGCAGCCTCGACTACCTAGGCTCAAGCAATCCTCCCACCTGAGCCAGCCTCCCGAATAGCTGAGTCTACAGGAACGTGCCACCAAGTCTGGCTAATTTTTTGATGTTTCGCTATGTCACCTAGGCTGGTCTCAAGCTCCTGGGCTCAAACAATCCTCCTGCTTTGGCCTCCTGAAATACTAAGATTACAGGCATGAGCCACCGCACCTAGCTAAGAAATTCTTATCAATTTAGACATGTGTAAGCTTTTCTTGAAATGAGAAAAAAGTTATTAATTTTTAGTATATTTCTAATGCTTTTTATTTGTGTTTTAATACAATTAGGTTTTTTGTATTATCTTTACTCTGCTAGTAACTGAATATGTTCTATCAGACCTACCACATGAGTATCTACATAAATTTTAATGAAAAATTGATATTCACAGTCCATTTGGCCATGGAAAAGCATCATTAAGTCCTTTTCTTTCTCTCCCTTTTTTTCTTAGGGACCTGTCTTTACTGTTTCATTTTCAAAGGGTGGAGAGCTGTTTGCATCCGGAGGTACAGACACCCAGGTTTGTTATTCTTTCCACTTTCTGTTCAGTTGGATTAGGGTAAAGGCACCTTTGACCTCAGCTAAGATTTTTACAATGAGGTAGTTTGTACATGTTAGGATGTTATCACTGAGTTTATATTTTAATTTAGTGCCATTAAGTCTGCTACTCCTAGCTGAAATAGTGCCAGTTCTGATAAGTTTTTGGAACTCAAATAGTTATTTTCTATTTCTCATTTTACACTCAATTATGCATGTAATCAGCACTTACTGAATGTCCATTTTCATTAAGTGGGTAGCATTTTTGCTTGAATTATTGCCTAATCTTTTATCTGTAAATCTTATTTCTTCCAATGTCAAGCTTCTTGAGGATGATAAACATAGATCATCATGTAGCAAATCTGCCTTTATTTGAAGTGACCAAAAGTCATTCACAACCAGATTTATTGAATACAGTGGATGATCAAGCCAAAGACATGGTTTTGAACTTTGGGGGGAGGGGAGAATAAGAGCATTTTAAGATATTTTCTTAATATGAATTTTTAACCAGACGTGAAGGCGATTCAAATGCTAAATCTCTCCCCCCATCATGCATTAAAAAAAGTGTTCATCAAAATATACATGTAGCCTTCCTCATTTGGGGGGACAATGCTATGTATTCATTTTTAAAAATCCGTTCCAGCCGGGCATGGTGGCTCAGCCTGTAATCCCGTGCCTTTGGGAGGCTGAGGTGAATGGATTGCCTGAGCCCACGGGTTCAAGACCCTCCTGGGCAGCGAGACCTAATCTCTACAATAAATCAAAAAATCAGCCAGGCGTGGTAGCACATGCCTGTAATTCCGGCTACTTGGAAGGCTGAGGCGGAAGGATCGCCAGAGCCCAGCAGGTCGAGGCTGCGGTGGCCGGGAGTGGCCACTGCACTCCAGTCCGGGTGACAGAGTGAGACTCCAACTCAAAAAGATAAATAAATAAATAAATAAATAAATAAAATAAATAAAAAATAAAAATCCGTTCCATTGCTTGGACACACAAGTCAATAATTGCTAATGTCACTGACTTTTGTATAGGTCTTATTATGGAGGACTAACTTTGATGAATTTCACTATAAAGATCTTCATAAAAGAAACCTCAAAAGATTGCACTTTGATTCACCACCACACCTTCTTGACATCTACCCAAGAACGCCACATCCCCATGATGGGAAAGTTGAGACTGTGGAAGTGAGTATTTTGTGCATATTTGTCCTACATTTTGTGTACATTTTGAGCCTGTTGATCAATGAGGGACTTGACGTTATACCGAATGATATATAACCTAGGCCTGCCTTAAAGAAGCAACACTTTGAGAAACAGTCCCCTGTCTTTGCTAATGATGTATCAATATGGTTGTGTGCAGCAGTGTTAATGCCTCATACACTGGCTTCTTGAAAGCCCAGAAAGAGCCAGGCTCAGTGGCTCAGCCTGTAATCCCACGCCTTTGGGAGGCTGAGGTGAGTGGATTGCCTGAGTCCGCAGGTTCGAGACCCGCCCGGGCAGGCGAGACCTCATTTCACAATAAATAAAAAAAATTAGCCAGGCATGGTAGTATGCACCTGTAGTTCCAGCTACTTGGAAGGCTGAGGCGGAAGGATCGCCGGAGCCCAGCAGGTTGAGGCTGCGGTGGCCGGGAGCGGCCACTGAACTCCAGTCTGGGCGACAGTGAGACTCCAACTCAAAAAAAAAAAAAAAAAGCCCAGAAAGAAAAATTTAAAAATTGTATTGATAGTAATAGGAAGTGAGAAATTGAATTCAAGGCCTCTTGTGCCTGAAGTCTGAATTAGCTTCCTACTCGAGGCATGTTGAGAGAGGTCATGTGAAGGCTGCCACAAGAACAGGGCAGTTAGTGAAATAGGTATCTTATAACAACAACAAAAAAAGATCTTATGGACAGGTAACAGAAAAGATTCAGGCATTAAATCTAATAATGGAGACCATTTATTGCTTTCCTATATAGATCTTTAAATATATAATTATCTACTTAGCTACAGATTTTTATTGACAAGTTCCTTCAGGGTCTATGGATTTAAGTGTTCTACTCTCTTCAAAGGGAAAATCATATTTGCTGGCTGTTTACTGATTTAGCCCCCCCTCCCTGTTTTTTGTTTTTTGGGGGTTTTTTTTTGCCATTTTCCGGGATTCTTCTTAAGAGCCTTTCTCTTCCAAGAGCTGACAATGGAAGTCACAATCACCTGTTCACCCGAATTTTTTTCTTTCCCATGACAGAATCTTTCTTTTTGAGTCAGGTATTTTGAGTTCTTGCGACTCACTCCCAGGAGGCAGTGCACTGGAGCCTCAGACACTGTTCACACCATGACTCCATGGCCCCATCAGTGATGTCCATGGCCTTCCCCCGTCACTTCTTTCATCTTAATTCCCCAGTCTTGGTCTTTCCTGTTACCTCAGCTACTTCTGCTAGTCTCCGGTTATATGTGGAAATATATCCTTTTTTTCTCTAAGTTTTTTTTGGGGGGAACTATTTTATAGATTTTAATTAATCTAACCTTGTCTTGGGATTTCTGTCTTTGTTTTTTCTTGGTAGTGTTGATTTTCAGTTATTTGCTATAATTTTTCCAACTTCTGACCATCTTTCCAGTTCTTCTAAAGTAGTATTTTACTACTTTATTCTACCATAATTTTAAAGGTTTATGTCTTTGAAAGACTGTAATATAATTTGTTTTCTCACAGTTTTCCTTCAGTTTCTACAATTATAAGTGTATTTATTGATCCCCTGTGATCACATAAACTCATAAAATATGTGGGAAATATATTTTAATTTGAGCATCCTTTTCTTGTGTCATCCACGCTGGTTTTTGGACTCCTGGTGTTTTTTGTTCTGCCATCTCTGTGGCCTGATTAGAAGGAAAGTGCCCCCTGGGCTGCCTTCTGGAGTGTGGGGGGGCGGGAGCAGCGCTGCGGGCCTCGACTGGTCACTTTCCTCCCTGAGTTGGGTAACTGTCTGTGACTCCATGTCAGCATAGCTCACAGGCCATCTTCTCTGTGACGTTCTGGCAGCTCCCATCCACTTATGACATCCACTTCAGAATGCTGAACTTTCCTTAAAATGTCAACGAGTTGTCTGAGTAGTTGTGCTCTGACGGTACAGTCAGAAAGCCGTGAAGCCAGCTCTGTTACTTTGTGTCTTCAGGTCAGGATGACCTAGGCCAGCAAAGCCGCTCTCAGCCATACTTTTCACATGTGCACTTAAAAATTCTATTACAAACTGACTTGTCTTCATGGAATTAGAATTCAGTTGCACTGTACACAATGTTGGTCCTTGTGACTAAGTTTTTTATGGCCTTTAGGTTAGTCAGCCCCTGTGTACACAGTTTAAATGACCTGTAAGCATGCATGGTTGCGTAAATTAAGTATACAATATGGCTTACTTTTGCAAAACATGTACAGGTCCTGTGATATAAAGTGACAGGGCCAGGCTCAGTGGCTCAGCCTGTAATCCCAGTACTTTGGGAGGCCAAGACAAGTGGATTGCCTGAGTCCGTGGGACCCACCTGAGCAACTTGGTGAGACCTTATCTCTACAATAAATAAAAAATTAGCCGGGCATAGTAGCGCACACCTGTAGTTCCGGCTACTTGGAAGGCTGAGGCGGAAGGATGGCTAGAGCCCAGCAGGTCGAGGCCGTGGTGGCCGAGAGAGTGCCACTGCACTCCAGTCTGGGTGACAGAGTGAGACTCCAACTCAGAGATAAATAAATAAATAAATAAAAGTGACAGGATTTTGCATATGAATGCTGATTGTTCGGGTTTTTGTTTTTTCTTAAAAATATCTTTTGATGAAGCAAGAATGTAAAGTTTTCTGGGTAGAGAACATTTTTTTTTTTTTTGAGTTGGAGTCTCACTCTGTCGCCCAGACTAGAGTGCAGAGGCACACTCCCAGCCACTGCATCCTCGGCCTGCTGGGTTCCAGCGATCCTTCTGCCTCAACCTTCCAAGTAGCTGGAATTACAGGCACACGCCACCACGCCGTACTAATTTTTTTGATTTATTGTAGAGATGAGGTCTCGCCAAGTTGCCCAGGCAGGTCTCGAACCCGCGGGCTCTGGCAATTCACTCACCTTAGCCTCCCCAAACACGGGAGTAAAGGCTGAGCCACTGAGCCTGGCCGGCAGAGAACATTTGTAGTATTATGAATAAATAATTTAGTACCAAATTTTGCTTTAAAGACTTTACTTCAAAAAAAAATTTTTTTTAGTTGGGGTCTCACTCTGTTGCCCAGGATGGAGTGCAGCTCACTGCAGCCTTGACCTTCTGGACTCAGAGCGATCCCTCTGCCTCAGCCTCCAGAGTAGCTGGGACTACAGGCACATGTCACCACACCTAATTTGTTTTTTTCTTTTTTTGGTAGAGACGAAGTCTCATTATGTTGCCTAGGCTGATCTTGGACTCCTGGGTTCATGCAATCCTCCCATGTTGGCCTCCCAAAGTGCTGGGATTACAAGCATAAGCAGCCATGCCCAGCCACTTCAAATTAATATACCTGGATCCCTCACAGGGTCAAAAGATTACTGAAGTTCAGAACTTTTACCTAGAATGGAATAGTCAAAACAGAAGTGCTGTGTTTATTTATGGTTAGTAGTTCAACTACTTTGAAGCACTGAATTTGGTATATTCAATTGTTTTTCAAAGCATTTGGCGAGGTGAGCTTACCCTAGGTTACTTTGAAAATATTTAAAAACTAGGAAAACATTTTTGAAGTTAATATATTATTAAAATATGTAGAATGGGCTGAGTGCGGTGGCCCATGCCTGCTATCTCAGCACTTTGGGAGGCAGAGGCAAGAGTATTGCCTGAGCTCAGGAATTCAAGACCAACCTGGGCAACTTGGCAAGACCTCATCTCTACAATTTAAAAAAAAAAACAAAAAACTTAATCTGGGCGTGGTGACTCACACCTGTAGTCTTCCAGCTACTTGGAAGACTGAGGCAGAAGAATTGCCTGAGCCCAGCAGGCCAAGGCTGCAGTGGCCATGAGCAAACCACTGCACGCCAGCCTGGAAAACGCAGTGAGACTCTGACTCAAAAACAAAAAACCAGGAAAACTTTTTTTGAAGTTAATATTTCCTGATTTAAAGTAAATAAAGCTATTATTAAAATATGTAGGGCAACCCCTTTGGGTCCCCTCCCACCATGAGAGCTTTTCTGTCTTCTCAATAAATCCTGCTTTCTCACTTAAAACAATAAATAAAATAAAATATGTAGAATTGACTGGGCATGGTGACTCACACCTATAATCTCAGCACTTTGGGAGGCAGAGGTGAGAGGATTGCCTTAGACCAGGGTTCGAGACCAGTCTGAGCAACTTGGCAAGACCTCATCTCTAAAATAAATAAAATAAATAAAAATTAGCTGGGCGTGGTGGCTTACGCCTGTAGTTCTACTATATATATATGTACATATATATAGAACATATATATATATACACATATATATGTAGAATAAACAGTATCTAAGTGAACTAATTAATTTTTCTAACTTACTCTTTCTGTGGTACCCATGAATGTTTCATTTATGAACCTGTAGCAAGACAGCCTTTCTGTGACTCCTCTAAGACCTGCCCGAATTGCCTATCAGTCTGCTGGTGAAACTGTTGGGCATTTGCAAAAGCCACCCGTTGGCAGCCTTAAGTGCTTCACTTGTCAGCAGGCGGGGAGGCCTGCAGAGTCCCAGCTCTTGGGCTTTAGCAGACTCAACCTATAAATTGTCATTCCTACCCGCGTGGAGGGGATGCGAGCAGATTATATTTTCGTAGGTGAGTGGCTTCCTCTAGACTCTAGGGGGCAGCAGAGACACGAGAATGACAAGTCTGCGTGCATCTCTCTGGACAGAGCCCGAGCTCCAGAGGAAAACCAGCCACCCTCGGGTGTCTCATCTCTGCCTCAACTCCAGATTCAGAGCTGACAGCTCGAGGCTGTTGGTTTTCTGTTTTATGGAGCAGCCGGAAAGAGGCAACAGCTTTACTGGCTGTGCCATTGTCCCTCCTCTCCACCCTGTGCGGGTGTGTCCTCTGTGTGCGCCTCCCCACTGACAATGATCAATTCTTCTTCCCACTTCTCAAATTGCAACCATACCCCTCAGGCATGAGAAGGCCTTCAGGAATCATTCCATGCCTCTTCTCTTGGGCTCAGCCCTCATCCTGGGCTATTGCAGTTGTGTCCTCACCGCCAGCCCTGTTTTATTATTTTTATCCTTTTGAGACAGGATCTAGATCTGTTGCCCAGGCTGGAGAGCAGTGGTACGATTGTGGCTTACCACTGCCTTGACTTCCTTGGCTTAGGTGGGCAATCCTTCTGCCTCTGCCTCCCAAGGAGCTGGGACTACAGATGTGCACCACCACGCCTGGCTAATCTTTTGATTTTTTGTAAAGATGAGGTCTCAGTACATTTCCCAGGCTAGTCTCAAACTCCTGGGCTCAAGCAGTCCTCCCACCTCAGCCTTCCAAAGTGCTGGGATGACAGGCATGAACCACCACATCCTGTTCCCTAATTTACTCCTGAGACTGTACATATCTCTGTCAGATTACTCTCTAAAGCTCATTGTAGCCTCCAACCTCTGGTCTCCCCAAAAGGTCCTCCACCCTTCATGATTTGACCCTTTCTAATATCTCTAATTGTCTCTTTTTCTACCCCTGGGTAAAAATAGCATGTCAGTCTTCTGCCACTGTACTGAGGAATGCTCTCACACATCTCTGTGTCTGTTTTTGTTTTCTAGACCTTTATTAAGGAGCCACTGTGAGCCCCGTTTCCTCCATGGGAAGCCTTTCTCACTATCTAAGCTCTCAGGCCTCGGTTTCTTCCTTGAGGCTCTTCAGTACACATTGCTGGTACCATTCATTTCATGTAACATTTTGCCACCTTTGTGGCCCTTTGTTGACATCTCTGTATTTATAATGTTTGAATTTTTTAATTATTTTATTTTATTTTGAGTCAGGGTCTCACTCTGTCACCCAGGCTGGAGTGCAGTGGCACCATCATGGCTCACCGCCGCCTCGACCTCCTGGGCTCAGGTGATCTTCTGCCTCAGCCTCTCAAGTAGTTGGGCCCACAGGTGTGTGCCACCATACACAGTTAATTTTTTGATTTTTTTTTGTAGAGACGAGGTCTCATTACACTGTCCAGGCTGAACTCAAATTCCTGGGCTCAAGCAATCCTCCCACCTTGGTCTTCCAAAGTGCATGAGTCATCACACCTGGCCTATTACTATTATTTTTATCATCATATTATTATTTGTTCTTTTCAAATTCTGAAATAACCTCCCCTAAAGGTAGTCATCACTCTAGGTAATCATTCTTCTGCCTTTCTTTGTAATTTTATATGTCTGAATAAATAATTAAGTATTGTTTAGTTTTGAGTGACTTTGAACTTTATATAAATGGAATTGTATTAAATATATTTGTCTGTGACTTTTTTTTTTTGAACTGGAGTCTCGCTCTGTCACCCAAGCCAGAGAACAGTGGCACGCTCACAGCCACTGCAGCCTCCACCTGCTGGGCTCAGGAGATCCTTCTGCCTCAGCCTTCCAAGTAGTGGAACTACAGTAGTGGTATTAGTCACCATGCCTGGCTAATTTCTTTATTTTTGTACAGATGAGTCTCACCATGTTGCCTAGGCTGATCTCGAACCCCTGGCCTGAGACAATCCTCTCATCTCTGTCTGCCAAAGTGATGAGATTACAGTCATGAGCCACTGTGCCTGGCTTCTAACTCGATTTAATTTAACATTCAAACCCTGATTCATACACATGAATTCTGAATTCATGCATTCATATGTCGCTGTACATAGTTGTGTTTCATTCATCTTCATTGCTGTGTAGTATTCCAATGACGTTATCACAGTAGCAATTCCCATAGTCTGTTTTCTGTTGATAGACATTTAAGAAAGTTCCAGTTGTTTTTGTTTTTTTCCCCCATGGCGAACAGTGCTGCTATAAACAATGTTGGTGTCACTGAACTTTCTAGTTTTTGCAGCCACATGAGTGTTAAGTGGTATGTTGCTTTATTTTCTACTTTCCTCATTACTGATGTTTCAGAACACCTCTTCCTATGCTGATTGTTAGGTTTTCACATCGATAATTTGTTTTTTGACTGGTTCTCTTTTTTCATTGATTTGTAGGTTTTTCTCATTTATTTTAGGTTTTTTTCTATTTTAGACATCCTAATGCAATAATTGACTTTATGACGTCCATTGTTAACAGAAATTCTGAATTTTGGTATAACCAGATATATCTCCCCCTCCCACCCCCGATGGTTTTGCTTTTGCAATTTTTAAGATAATTTTTTTCAGCTTCTGATTACAAACATATTCTTATGCATTTTCTTCTATTAACTTTCTAGTTTTAACATAACATTTAGGTTTCCAACATATCTGCCAGCCACCTTCATATGTAGTATTGGGCAGGGATCCAGCAAGCAGGCCCATGTTTTCAACTATGACTCCTCTTTCCTCTGTGGTGCCATTGTTCTCTTTCGCTCCCCTCACCAAACACAGCACTCTGCTTCTGGGCTCTTTATAATGTGGCTTTCTGTGTGAGCCTTTTTTAGTGTTAACATAAGTTTTATTCTTTTCTTTTCCATAAGGTCTCTCACAGCTTTGTATGTTTGTTCTGATGTATTTAAGAATTTTTTGCTGGGCTCGGTGGCTCAGCCTGTAATCCCACACTTTGGGGGGCCAAGGTGAAGGGATTACCTGAGTCCGCGGGTTCGAGACCCGCCTGGGCAACTTGGCGAGACCTCATCTCTACAATAAATAAAAAATTAGCCGGGTGTGGTAGTGTGCGCCTGTAGTTCCAGCTACCTGGAAGGCTGAGGCGGAAGGATCGCCGGAGCCCCGCGGGTTGAGGCTGCAGTGGCTGGGAGCCGCCACTACACTCCAGTCTGGGAGACAGAGTGAGACTCCAACTCAAAAAAAAGAAAAATAATTTTTTATGGTATTGTAAGTGGTGTCTTTTTAAAATGTACATTTTTGAACTGCTCTCAAATGCAAACATGTAGTTGATTTTTTTATGGATTTGGGGTTTAGCAATCTTCTTAAACTTTCTTACTAGTCTAAAGAGCTAGCAGTAGATTCTTTAGGAATTTCCTCATAGGTAATCATAATACATACAAATGGCAATGTAATTTCTTTCTAATTATTATATTGTAACACCTTTTATTTCCTTTTCTTGTCTTACTGAACTGGCTAGGATTTTTTTCTGCATCCTTTGAGGTGGGTCATTTTTTTTTTAATATCCCTTTGTAAGTAAATTACTTGGATTTTTCTAAATTTGAAAACATTCTTTTATTTCTGAAATTAATTCATCTTTGTCATAGCGATCTTTTCTTATTCATTGGTAGAATTGGTTGGTTAATATTTTGCTTAAAATGTTTGCATCTATATGAATGCATATACCAACATTTTTCAATTTTGGCATATATCATGAAATACCTTCTAGGTTTCTACAAATAGCTTTCAGTTTCTTGTGGTGTAAAAAATCTCACTGTAACTTTTTTATGTGTATGCACAGATTAATCCAAAGCTCGAGGTCATCGATCTTCAGATCTCTGCTCCTCCTGTTGTGGATATCCTTTCTTTTGATTCTACCACCGTAAGTTTTTTTTTTTTTTCCTTCTTCTAATATTTAAGCAGTATTTAATTATTTGATTTGATCCATTTTTCTTAAAAAGCGTGAGGGGAGAAGATAAAATGTGGGCCAAGTAAGTAACCTAACATTTTAGTCGAGGAAGAATTTAGTACAAAAATTTTGTGTTGACTTTGAGATATAGTGTATTGATATTGAGATACCTTTTATTGCCATTGAGATACATTGTATTGCCATTGAGATACAATGTATTTCAAAAACACTGACAATATTTCTAAATAGCCACTAGGGGGAGCAGCACCAATTTCCAGGAAAGTTTTACTTTGAGTCCCTGAGCTCAGTCTAATCCCTACCCACTGTCTCACCCACTAAGATGCCACCCAGTTGACAGTCCACGTGCTGTGGCAGAGCAGATGCCCTACTGTGTTATTTGATCTTCAGAGGTGCTAAACTTGCTTCCAGTCTTTTCCTTAGAAGCTGTAAGAAAAGCTATCACTTCCCTTTATCTCTTTAAATGGATTACCTAGAAATAAGTATTTCTTTTTTTTCTTTTTTTTTAAATCAAAGTTTTACTCTGTTGTCCAGGCTGGAGTGCAGTGGCTTAGTCATGGCTCACTGCAGCCCTGACATCCTGCCTCAGTCTCCCAGGTAGCTGGAACTACAGGCTCCCATCCCCATGTCTGGCTAGCTCTTTGGTTTGTTAGAGAAATAGGGTCTTGCTATGTTGCCTAAGCTCCTCTCAAACTCCTGGGCTCAAGCAGTCCTCCTACCTCGGCCTCCCAAAGTGCTGGGTTTACAAGCATGAGCCACTGCACCCAACCAAGAAGTGTTTCTCATAGTAGCAATTTTGTTTATAAAATTGCATATATATAATTTATTCAGTGTATTCAAAGTTCAAAGACTGAGAGCTGTAGCTTTTCACTCACAGAGTCTTCTTAATCTTTTCGAGGCAAATCATTGCTCCAGTTGATCCTGCTGGTTGGTGCAAGTGAGTAGTAAGATCTAATGGGAAGAACACGTGGTCTTTGGTGACACTGCTATTATGGCATCAGTTTAGTTCAATACTTTGGGTCAAATTTTAATATATGAACAACAACAAAAAGAAATGAAAAGAAAAATCCCTGACGTTAGGATATTATAAGCTCTCCAATGGATTTCAAGAACAGTACTTATTGGAGAGGGATTCTACAGAGGACTGGTCCATTTTGAATCTCTTCTGTTCCAGAAAGTGCTCTAAATTGTTCAAGAGTCCTTTCAGTGTTCATCTGTAGCGGAGAAGACTCCCAGATCTCTCACAAAAAAACGTCAGCAACAAAAACCAAGAGAGGGCAGCCGAGGGGCTGATTGTCAAAGGGAATTCCAGGAACTGCTGGTGACAACTAGGACTTCAAGCCAATCTGTGGTCTTGTTTCTTACATTATTCGTATCTATAAAGTAACTGACGGCATCTCTGCATTAACAACTGACTTAGGAAATTAAAAGTTAACTAAACATCTAAAACTTGCCACAGTTTAGCTTATCTTATACTAGGTGTTCAATACATGCATTTCAGTGAATTAATTAATGTGCACATTGTAGAAACATGAAAATTCTGGTGAGTTGGGTTGTTTCCCACGTAGTGAGAGAGAGCAGAGGATAAGAGGCTTGTGAGATTTGCTGCCTCCAGGTGAGGTAGTCAGCATACTAAAACGAGTATTCCTGGCCTAGAAAATATCACAGATCATTAAAAAGTCTCTGGTCCACCTTCTACTCTCCCTGCCAGCACCTGTCACACTTCACGAAGCCTCATGCCTGCAACATCGACACAGTCTGGACGGACGGTGCCACAGGAGTTGGCATAACAGTCTCTGAGTGAGGAACAGCAGTATGTCGACCCTGGATCCTCACTTAGTGATACCCAAATCAACTGGCCTCCATTGTAGGGCCCTGACTCAGGGGATATGTATATGGGGGACATTGGGAGGACAATTTTGTGTAACAGACATGTGGCATTTAACAGTTGTGCTGCAAAGCAGAAAACTAAAATTGAAAAGTATGGTTATTAGTTGTAAGGGATAATACTAGCCTGATTTATACAAAATTGTCATTTTGTAGGCAAAAATAGTCTAACATCAGTGACTTTACATGGTTTCACCCAATACAGACTTTGAGTTGTGCACTCAATGCTATATAAAAACCAAGCAAGCAAGCAAGAAAAAGGACAGTAAGATCTTGTTTGCTGTACATTGGTTTGGGATCATGCTAGTGAAGTCCCATCTGGATAAATTCTTTGACAATCTGGAAGTTGCTTGCTTTCAGGCAAGGACCAAGGATTTCATTTTCCCAGGCCATTCTGAAGACGTGAATACTCAAAAAGAATTTCAATTCGTAAAAGGATATCTCAAAAGGGTTTTCCTTTAAAATTTCAATGTATACCTTTTTCTTTTAGTTCAGTGAGAGATAATTGGTTAGAGAACTAAAGGGGAATTACTTTTTTAACTGTTTACTTTTCCTTGAACACAGTGGTAAATAATTATTGATCGATAGCCCCTCTCTCCATTGACGGTTTCTCTCTTGGCTTCTGCACAACCAGTCAGACATAATTGTACAGGAGGTTTGTGTCTGCTTTGGCAGAAGCACAATTGTGTTGTTTTTTGGTGTGCACTTTTCACAAGATTGTCATTTTAAAACCCAGAGACATTGGAAACCCAAACAGGCAGTGTTTAAAGGTAGTTTTTGTTTTTGTTATTATGGTTACTTTTTCTTTTTGTGGTTTGTTCATTTGGTTTTTATAGATTGGAGGGAAGTTTCCTTAGAAATTAATATAGCCAAGATGGGATGTTAAATAATTACTCTTTAAACCTTAATTTGCCAAATTTCTTGGTAGCATAAAAGCAGGTTTGTCCTGATATAAGGAACAGCTGGCTTCTGTTCCCACTTTTGCTTGATTCAGTGTTCTCTTCTGGATGAGTTGGAGACCTGAGTGTGTGGATATGTGTGCTCAGATATCTTCTCACTGCAGGGAGGAAATCGTGGCACGTAACATAATAATTGGTATTTCTGTACCTTGCACTTGTGTCTCTAATGCCAGGCAGGAAATTTGATACAATATTTGGGGATCAAAATAAGCTGCTACCAATCTGGATTTTTAAAGCATTGTTAGGGGGGGAAAAATGTCTCTGTGACAGGATTATACTGGCTACCTGCCGCGTAGTCATAGTTTAGAAATGATGATCTCAGATTCCTGAGTCTTGATTCTGATCATATTAAGTCACTTATTATATACTAATTTTCTAAAGATTATTTAGTTCAAGATTTCACTTGAGTTTTTTGATGTTTTCATTCATTTGGTTGGAACTAGACCAAGTTCCTGTCTTCAAAATCATAAGGTCACTTGGGCATGAGCATTGACATGCGAGGCCACTTGGGATGGCAGATCACACCTCCTCACCCTGAAGATGTGCAAGATAGGGGTTTCTGTCTTGTATCCTCATACAGAGTTTTAATTTTAACTAAACTTAAATACAATTTATTTTGAAATACGCTGGGATTATCAATTTTTTTGTTATCTTTAGGAAAATTCTATTCTTAAATGTTAATGTGTTAATTTGATTATTATTTGTCCTGTAAATGAACAAAATGAAGTTAGGAATCCTGCTGTTGTTCCTTAATTGCCGAAATACTGGCTTCTTCTCAGAGACTGTTTCAGGGTTCCTCTCCATCCTGGCAACTGTGCAGACCTTGAATGTCATGTATATACCTCTCTTTAAAATCGGGGCAGTACTTCAAGTCCAATTAGTTATTTACAGTGAACTTGCAATTACATTATGGAAAAAATCCAAGGGTCTACTGTCCCTTGTTGCTCCATCAGCCATGGTGCAAGAAGGCATCCCATGAGGTACTGAGGGGATGGGACCAGCCGGAGAGAAATAATGGATATGAAACAAAAGTCGGTTTCAGTCCACTAGATGCCAAATGTACGTGATTGTCAATGACAGGTTTTTAATGGAAATATTCAGAAGAGGTCATTGGCGGGCTGGAGGAAGCTGGAGGACTTCTCTAGAAGAAAACCTTTGACTGCTTCTTGATCTGACTAGAGACAGGTGGGACTGTGACGGGTAAGGCAAGGTATCATTAGGTGCCTCGGAAGGAACTGCAGTATGGGCTGTGGTGATAACAGGGCATCCCTCTGGTTTTGAGGCTTGCCCAATTCAACATGTGGTAGATATCGGCAAATCCAGGGAGGATGGCCACTGGCATACATCCCTGCCTCTTGATAAATATTTATCAACTATTCTGCACCACTCTCCACTCTTGGCTTTAAAGAAAGTGAATAGAACAGAGACACCTGCCCCAGAGAAGCCTACATCCCAGAGATGGACGACTGACAGATTCATACAGGGGTGCAAAAATGAAGAAAGCACCGAAGGCAGAAAGGAAGAGGCTGCGGTTGTGGCATGACTAGGACACAAGTCATGTGACAGGTGACGTTGGAGTGAAGAACTGAAGGGAGCAAGTCTCAGGCCCTCTGGGAAGGGTACTGCAGGCCAGTTGGGGTGGTGACGAATAGAAAGCCAGATCCGGATGACATGGGAGCCCCTGGGGGGTTTCCTGCAGAGAAGGGCCATGATCTGACTTACCTCCTCACAGGTTCACTCCGGCTGCTGTGAAAACAAACCTAGGTGGTGATGGGGGAGGAGCCAGGAGACTAAATAGGAAGCTCATGGAATACGGGACAGGAGGCAACATGGGCCGGGCCCAGGGCGGCAGCCAAGGATGAGCGATCAGATTCTGGGTGTATGTTGAAGGCCGAGCCAAGAGGATTTCCTGACAGATTGAATGTCAGCCGTGGGATTCCCTGTCTCCTTTCCCCAGGGACAGTCAGGTGCAGCCCTGAGGAATCTCAGGACAGCTGAGGACATCTCTTGGCTCAGCGTCGTTTGGCGGGGGGCTGCTGAGAAAAAGGATTGTCCTCCATTCTAGGATCACGAAAGAGACCAGCTGGACCAGTGCAGAGATAACCGGCAGTCTTGTGACTTTAGGAAGGGCACTCTCCCTTCGTAAATGGCCCTCAGATTTGCATTTTTCAGCCAAGTTCATTGATTTTCCTCTCAGAACATTTTCTTTGCATCAGCCTATTGTTAGAAAGAAAAAGATGACACCCTTTCAGTTTGTCATGTGGTATATGCTACCTGAAAAATATTAATGTGCTGACAAAATGTATGAACTCACACAGAGTAAACTTGCAGATACAGAGAGAATATTTCCATGAATGTTGTGGCAACAGTTCATCCTGGTTACTAGACAACATTGCGTAACTAGTCAGAGTTATTTCAGTTCCTAACTGCTTATGTAAGCAAAGATTTGGAAAGACTAAAAGAACACAGTGTATGCAAACCTAAATGTCTTAGAACTCAAATTTATAACTTTGAAAGTGAAAAATGGTCATATGCAATATGAAGTTAAGTTTAAACTTCACAGCAGCGTGTATGTGGCATTTGACTTGTAAGTGTAGCGCAGGTCATTTCTGAAACTAGGTATGTCCGTCTGTAACTTTGTGACTGCTTGTGAAACTTTAGGGAGCAGACATTTGTGTGGTGTCTTTAAGCTTTGGCTCAGTGGCCCTGCCATGTGTCTCTCCTGCCTGACTCTAAGTGCGTGAAAGGAAACGAACTTCCGCATTTATAGGATCCAGGTTCTGGGCTCCCCGGCTGGTTCTTTCTCCACTGCATCCCTTTATTAAGACTTTTTGTCTTAACTTCAAATGATACTAAATATATCAAGTGAGATATGTTCATTTTTTAACACAAAAAATTAAATGTGAAATGCTAAGGTGCTTCATAAGGGTAAAAGGGGAATTTTTGTAAAGTTTGAGAAATAGTTTTAAAACATTCTCCTTTGAAATTGAAAGAAGTAATTAAATTGTCAAAGACATTTAAAAAGTAAGACACACATGATAACTAAGAGAAGGAAATGGGAAAAAACAATATTTTTACAGAACTCTTGCCATTTAGAAATAGAAAACATGCATTTATTTTTTCAGATACAATCTCTAAAATAGAGATAGGAGAAAAAATACTATAGATGGGGAAGAGGCTATTTCCTAGTTAGTTGGATTCTTACTTTTGAAGTACATCATGACCCATATATTATAAAAACTACCAACAGATGTGAATTTATGGCTGCCCTTTTAAAAACTGTGCTTTGGAATTGTTGAAAAATTAAAGTGTTGGTTAAAGGACCATGCTTTTTTTTTTTTTTTTAGGACAGAGACCTGGATAGTTGTAAAGTTTATTAAGACTATCACTATAACAAGAGATTATAGTGTGAATCAGGGGCCTTTTTCCCCTCCCCAAATAAAATATATGTTTTAATTTAAAAAATCATAATAATCACCTAGTCCCTGCTGTTTGATTAAAATATATCAAAAAATTTACTAATTTGAGTTTTTTCTCTTTAAATTTCAAAGTCACAGGCAAAGAAAACTTACATTAATGAATTCACCAAAAATGTTATGCTAATTAACATTTTAAAAATAGTCTTAGTTAAATAATACTTTAGGCAGTGAAACTGGTCCTTATTCCTGTTGATAAAGGTGATTTAGGACTTAGACTTTTCTCTCTTGAAATGTGTAGAGAAGAAAAAGGAAACTTTACAAAAGGTTTCTGAAGTATGCTGTCTGGAAGTTCCCCAGGGTCAAGGTTTCTTAGAATTTCCTTTAGAAGAGTAGCTCATTTCTTGGGAGGTGTCAAAGTTCCGGGTATCATTTCTGCCTCTGCTTTCTGAGCAGTGCCCTCTGCCTGTGGTGTCAGGTACCAGGGATGGGCCAGGCCTGGGACACACCGCCTGTCCGGTTCCCACAGCTGAGAGCCAGGCACGCCGACAATGCCTACAGCTCTCAGCCCACACAGCCAGCAGCAACTGGTTCCTTCCTCTTCCTGCGGAAGAGAAACATCCTCCGAGATGAGAAGAAATCCACCCCGAGGAATGTGGCCACAGCGGTGGGCCTTTCACACAGGAAATTGCTGCTTGGCTCTCTAGAAAGTGCTTGTCTCCTGGCCTGCCAGCCCGTCAGGAGCTTCCTGCTGTCCCAGAGGATGGTTTAGTAGGAGCTGAATGCCAGGGCTGCTGGGTTTCAGGGACAGAGAATGTATCTCTCAGCTGTTCTGTGTGTCTGTCCCCATCTTGTTCTGAGTTATTCAACACTGCGCAGAGAGTCAAGCTAGTCGGTTTCGCTGCATTCTTTATTTAGCCACTTGTCAGTTAATTATTTGATGAAAGTAGACAAGAAGTCTGCTCAAGTGCATTTTTTGGTCAATTCTTTGTACTTTACACTGTCGAGTTGTATAAAATATATTAGGGCTTCAGAGAGTCAACGCCTCATCATCTTAGTGAGCTGGCTACTGAGGCCCAGTGCTGGTCCGGACCTGGTTCTTTCTGTGTCTTTCCATCTCTTTGCTTTTGCTTTCTGAGACCATCAGGCATCAGTGGAAGATGTCATACTCTGCACAGTCATATAGCCTGACACACAGACAAAATGATGATGCTTTAAATCAGCCAACCAGCCCTATCACGTACCAAGGACTTGAATTGACTTTTACAGTTGGAGGAATGTTTTAGTAGAATTTGGTTTCCTTTTTTGTTTTCTTAATTCCTACTATATTTTGTTTTTATCTTGCTTGGGATAATGATGGCCAATACAAAGCCCAGTTTTTATATCATGCATACTTTTTAAACTGCTTTCACTTTCCAAATCACTAGAGAATTTTGGTGGGCTTCAGTGTTTATGGTAGCAAAATTCTTTTACTTTTGGTGTGTTTATTTGGACTGTTTTGCTGAAGCACTTAAGAGTTACTTGTTTGTTTAAGTTGAAGAGGAGATGGAGAAGGAATGCCCGGCATTTCCTCTTCCTTTTTAGAATGTCTTTTTAATGAACATTCTTCTCTCCTCCTCAGGAGCAAACCATCCTCACTCAGCAAGAGGCTCTCAGTGTCTCCTTCTTACTAGCCTAGCCTCTTGTCTTTGTTCCCAGCTCTAGGAGGTTGTTGTTTCATACATTTACTATCTCTATCTCAGAGCTCCCTTTTAGCCGTTACAGATTATGTGTTTAACCAGTTTCCTATATTAAATTCTCTCTGTTAAAATAACTGCTGGAAGCCAGGCTCGGTGGCTCAGCCTGTAATCCCACGCCTTTGGGAGGCTGAGGTGAGTGGATTGCCTGAGCCTGCGGGTTTGAGACCCGCCTGGGCAGCGAGACCTCATCTCTACAATAAATCAAAAAAATCAGCTGGGCGTGGCAGCGCATGCCTGTAATTCCGGCTACTGGGAAAGCTGAGGCGGAAGGATCACCGGAGCCCAGCAGGTCGAGGCTGCAGTGGCCGGAAGCGGCCACTGCACTCCAGTCTGGGCGACAGAGTGAGACTCCAACTCAAAAACCAAACAAAACAAAAAAAAAACTGCTGGACTTTCTGTTTTTCTGCTGGACCCTGAATGATACATTACAGTTAATTGTCCTGAAAAAATAAGATGTACACACAGATTTCTTATTTCTAATAAGGATACCTATTCCAGCACTGTTTGTGACAACAACAGCAGCAACAAAAGGATAAAAATCAAATGTCTTTTACAGGGCATTAGTTAAATAAAAGTATAGGATATCAGCAGGGGAATATTATACAGCCATCCCAACTACACACAATGTATGTGATCTGAATCCTCAGCCAGTGGGAAAATTGGTTTTTGTTTTATTTTGTTTTTTGAGTTGGAGTCTCACTCTGTCACACAGGCTGGTATGCAGTAGCACAATCACTGCCCACCACAGCCTTGACCTCCTGGGTGCAGGGGATCCTTCTGCCTCAGCCTCTGCAGTAGCTGGGACTAGGTGTGTGCCACCACACCTGGCTAATTTTTATTTTTTGTCGAGACGAGATCTTGCTGTGTTGCTCAAACTGGACTCAAACTCCTGGGCTCCAGCATTCTCCCTGGCTTAGCCTCCTAATGTGCTGGGATTATAGGTGTGAGACACCATGCACAGTTGGGAAAATTGTTATATAGTACATTAGTAAGACATTCGACATAACTTTAATATAGATGGAATATTGGACAATGGCATCCATGTTAACTTTTCTGATTTTGATATTCATACTGTGGTTATATAAGAGAATGATCAACCAGGCTCGGTGGCTCAGTCTGTAATCCCAAACTTTGGGAGGCTGAGGTGAGTGGATTGCCTGAGCCCACGGTTTCGAGACCCGCCTGGGCAACTTGGTGAGACCTCATCTCTACAATAAATCAAAAATTTAGCCAGACATGGTAGCGTGCACCTGTTCCAGCTCCTTGGAAGACTGAGGCGGGAGGATTGCCAGAGCCCAGCAGGTCAAGGCTGCAGTGGCTGAGAGCGGCCACTGCTGCACTCCAGTCTGGGTGACAGAGTGAGACTCCAACTCAAAAAAAAAAAAGAATGATCTTATTCTTACTGTAGTAATTGAGGTAAGAGAGCATGGTGTCTCAACTTCTCTCAAAAGATTCAGAAAAAAATAATCAAAATAGATAGATTGATAGAGAGATGTGGCAGAATGTCAACAATTGGTGAATCTGGATGAAGCTTATGTGTGAGTCCTTTTTATTATTCTTGTGACTTTTCTTTAAGTTGGAAATTTTTTCAAAATAAAAACTTAAAAACCAAAAAGTATGTTTCCTTATGTCACTAGTAATAATAGTGCTCTATACATCATATTTTCAAAGTACATAACCAACAATATGATTCAGATTTTTTTTTTTTTTTTTTTGAGTTGGAGTCTCACTCTGTCGCCCAGACTGGAGTGCAGTGGCCACTCCCGGCCAC